ATCCCTCCTGATGACCATGCTTCCCTAAACTACAAATGTCTCTACAACTGGTGAAATGAGGATGCCCTTAAAACTCCTAATGCGGCAATAAAGCATGCCTTAAGTGCACCAAGTTAGTGCCACACTCCCTCAAAGCATCTCTCTCATTATTATGGGTTAATATGAGGGTGTATAGGATCAGGTTTTATTATTTGCATTTGTAAGACAAAGTCCAAAGTCTGAAGTGTAGTTGAATCCTTCACCCTTCACCCAGGAAGTATGCTGTTGTCTTGCAAGGCAGCAAAAACTAGCCTCACTTTCACTACCAAACCCATTTATATACGTACTTGGAACAGAATAGAAACTGTTTTAGTTCATCATTTGGGTAACGTATGGTTATCTCCTTTTCTCAAAATTAACAACATCAGTGTGGCTACTCTAATTCATTATAATAACTTAGCCTGGGAGTTTTGGTTACTCAATGTCTGGGATGTTTCATGGCTATACATTGGGAATAAACAGAGAATGGTTATGATATTAACAACATTGTTGCACGAGCTGAATTATCCACTTTTTTGACAATGATTTGATACAGTTCATTTAATATTAAAGGTTTGTCGAGTGCCAGTTATTTTCCAGACACTCGGGGTATCCACCTTTTGAGGCACCCACATTCTCATCAGAAAGAGAACCAGGTAATAAAAACAATAGTTAAGCTGCACTATGTTAGGTGGAAGCAGAGTTCAGGATCATAAAAGCTAAAGAAGTGGCAGAAATCCACTACCTGGCAGTCCAGACCATTTCCGCCAATGGGAAAGCATCTAAAAATGATTACCTGAAACATTTTTATTTTAATAACTGATAAACCTCCTAAGTAAACATGTACTATTCTATGATGGCATTATTATTTTTACCCTCTAATAAAATTACTACAGTGACTCCTTTTAGATGTGATTATTTCATTCACATTTAATATTTAAAGAACCTGTTCAAACAAGGACCTGTCTTACAGGCCTCTGTCCCCACCAAAGTAACATTTTTTTTTAATGTGTATCCATGTTCTTTACCAGCCTGTAATGATAGAGTAGATAAGATTATATGAATGTACTCCAACGCAGACCTCTTCCCCTGAATCACACCTTTGAAGGATTCCTATTATAGGCAGTCGGATAGTATGACAAAGAGAGTTCCTCCAGGCATATTTTAACACGCAATTTAAAATGATTCTGTTATCAGTTCACACATTGTGTCTTCACTCTACACCATAGCCAAAAATATTCAGATTTAGTCTGATTTCCATATCAAATTTCTAAAGCAGCAGCAAGAGCCCATCTGTTTTCATGTGACTCTCATATTAAGCCCTCACAATCTTTGAGATGTCAAATAAGACTGAGAGACTGCTGCCCTTGCATTTTTTTTTTACATTTTGATTTATTTGCACATATTTTATTAATTCTTTTTTTAAAATTTATTTCAAAATATTAGGCATAAATGTTCTTGTTACAGGAATGAATTATATAATGCTGAAGTGTAGGCTGCATGGTTTAGTACACACCTGTAAGTGTATAAATGCCTCAACTGAGTGTCAAGAGAGGCAGGGCATCTTGACAAAATGCCTAATCAATAGCAAAGCAATCCACATTACGTCTGGCTTTGCCTCAAACTATCTGTGTGGGCTTGGATGAGGTCTCTGTATCTACTATGTGACAAACGAATGGACTATTCTCTGTGTATTTTAAAGGAAAGAATAAATAACCCAAAGGGGGCTGAACTGGAACTCTATAAAGTTCCTTTAGGCTCTAACATTATGAAAGCATCTAAAATTTTTCTCTTCTCTATTTCTCTCATTCAAAGTTATAAAATTCAAATCCCACTGTCATATCACTTCCAGGCATCTGGATCACTTAATCCATTCCCAATGTTAAGATACCAACACAGTTAACAATTAAGCTCTTATTGGTCAATCATGTGTTCTAAGCAGCTACTTGCTGGGTCTCCTGTTTTAGCACCACAACTACGTCCTGTATAGGCATTTGAGAAACTCATTAAATTTTCAAAATATACAGTTTAGTACCTCAGATAAATGTGCTACCAAAAATTTCAATAAGGACACAATTCTGAGGATATAAAACTTCACCAGACTAAGGAGTATCTGAAAGAATAAGCATATCATTCTTCAAAATACTTCCTGTTCAAGAACCGTTAAATAGCACACTGAGATGAAGATAACCCCTCACACTTATAATCTAACAGACTTTCAATAATATACTTACCTATATCCAGATATTACATATAACAGATATGCTCATGCCATATGTGTGTGTGTGTGACCCACGTAATTGGCACAAAGTGAGTGTTGCAAATTAAAAGCACAGTTGCATAATAATCACTGCAGAGAACCCAGAGGAAAAAAAAAAAAAGAACAGAAAAGCCCCCAAAGTAGATCAAGCCAGGGTCAAAACATTATGGCAACTCAGAAAACATTTTGAGGGACACCTTATGTAGAGCTCCAAAAACCATTACAAAGATGTTTTAAACTAAAACAATGCAGTGACACTAGTTAGGTCATCAGTGGGCAGAGGGATCCACAGGAGAAAAGAAAGCCTGGACTGTAGAAAAAAAAATCTTATATAATATGCATTTTATTGAAAGGGAACAGTATCTAAAACAAAAGTTTGAAATATTACTCTGTTTTTAGACTGTGTTTTTCAAGTTGTTTCAGCTCAAGAAAAACTTATAGGAATTTAAAGGAAAGAAGGGTAAGCAAAAGATTCCTCCTCATCACTGACTCCTGCAGCATTCAGGTGACTGCGAGAAAAGCAAATGAAGCTGCAGAAGGGCATTGTGAGAGCTGGGAGAAGACGGAGACCTGGTGAGAACAAGGGTGATTTGGATAATATTATAAATGATTCAAATTAGGGAAAGACAGAATGGCTTACCAAATCTTGTGGAAGCTGCTTCTAAAATCTGATTTTAGCTACCTCTAGGAAGGAAAGTAGTATATTACACAGTGACTGCATGGGAATATTTAAGAATTCAAAATGAGTTTGGATAAATTCATGAATAGCTGAGATAAGCTGAGATCAATCCCTGTGGTTCACAGTTGAT